AATTTAAAAAAATCAGAGTGCCTCAATTAAAAAAATATTTAAGGAAAAAAAATTTCACCAAAGTTATAAAAAACTTTCTTGAAATAAAAGATCTCAAAAGAAAAAAAACTCGAAAGTTTTTAGAAATATTTAAAAGTAACCAATAAATATATGTATACAAAAAAACTTCTTTTAAAAATCGCATGAGATAAAAGCTGCAAGCAATAAAAATACTCAGCAAACTTAAGCATAATTAAAATAAAAAAAATTTCACTCAATAAATGAAAAAAAAACACTTTCTTGAAAAAATTTCATAATAGAAAACTCGGAAAACTTAAAAAAAATGTAAAAAATTTCACTCAAGGAATAAACAAAAAGTTTTCCGAGAAATAGAAAAAAATATCATGATATAAAAAAATCAATAAACTGAATAAAAACTTCATTCTGTCTTTTATGCCGCAGAAAATTACTTAAATAATTATGACGTAATGTATGCTGTTAAGTGTAGTTGCGCTCATTCTTCTCCCAGCACTATTTTTGTGCTTAATTAATTGAGAAAAAAAAAACAAAAAAAAAATATATATAATTTTATTGCATTAAGTAAATTCTGTAGTGTAATGTCTTCGGTTTGACGTAAATCTTCTGCTTTTAAGTTTTAATTTGCCGCCGAAAGAGTTGTTGTGCTTAAAAATAATAAGTTGTGGGTGTGCATATTAATTTGAGGCGTTGCAAAAATATAAAATTGTGGTAATATAGATTTAATTCTATTCTGCAAAAGTAATGCAATCGTGAGCACATAAAAGAATTTGTGCATTTAGTCTTTGTGTACACTTGAAGCTATTAAAAAAGCAAGAAGAAGCAGCGCTTAAAAGCATATACGGTTGTGTGCATATGAATAGAATTCTGTAGGTATATATTTCTTTGATATATATATCGTCGCCTGAAATGCAAAATAACGTATCATCACTTCATAAGTTTACAGCCGAAGAAAAAACAATATAAAGAAACCATTCATGTTGAAACTAAATTTGAGTTTCGGTTATAAAATGCTTATACTTTAGTTATATATTAGTTATATATTAGTAGTATATTGGTTATATATAACTTATATATTGGTTATAAATGACAGCGAAAGCTTAAATAAGTAAGCAATAAACAACTCGATTTCGATTTTTTATTTGCCGATACGTTGTTTTGCATTTTATGTGAGTATATCTGTATATATTTTCCCTTAGTGTCCAGAAGAAACAAAGCGTCGTTACTATGTCATACCAGAAAAAAAGTTTCTCATAAAATTCATCACCTGCTTGGAAGTGTCTCAAAACTTAAAAAACCTTCTTTTCAATTTCCATTTTATAACTCTTTTCAATGCTTTGTGTTATCACGATATTCTATTAATATGACGACAACTGTTATAAATGTTTTGTTGGCAAATAAAATAAAACTATTCGCTTTTACTAAATGCTGCCGAATTTAAGTAAGTGTAATCAGAATTTTGTGGTTTGTTTCTGGAATTTATTAACCCACACACACTTGGAAGTAGAAAAAATGTTTGGCAAGCGCGTGTAATTTTTGAAAACCACAAATATTTGCGTCTTAAGTTTGTGAGTAATATTTCTTTTGGAATAAAATTATGTTTTTGTTCCGATTGTTGTTGTGCGTGTGTATTTTGCTAATTATTAGAAGACTATTGTTATTTCCAAGATCTTGACTAGTGATTTTTTGCTGAATAACATATCTGATGGGTATATCAATTTCCCTTAGTATTCCCATCATGTTCTTACAATCTCTTCTATCGAATATTGTGTAGTTCTACCGTTTTGCACATGACTTTTGTATTTTTGTATAGTTGCATCGGATTCTGATTTTCTTTACCATGCTTTTGTTCAGATCTTTGTATAGACAACGCACGGGTTTCCCAATGTTGATCACGTTTTCGGATGTTAGCCGTAGACCATTCTTGGCAATCTCGTCCACTGTTTCATTACCCTCGATGTCTTTGTAGTCTGGCATCCGGTAGAAATGATACTGCTTGCTTCTGGCGACATTTTCCACTGCTGCCCTGCTTCCCAAAATACTTTTGGCCGATATGCGTTGCAGTAACTTCGCAACCTTGATTGCTGTTTGTCTTTCTATGCAGATGTTGACCCTGGAATCGCCTGCAGTTGCATTATAGGCCAGGTCCGCGACTTTCGCGATAACAAAAACTTCAGTTTAAAATATACTACAGTGATTCGTCAACTAAAAAGGCTGCCTTATGCCTAACTCTGGACCGAATATTTTCGCACCAACTCCATCGTCTATTTTCGAGCTTTCCATATAAATGCTAAGAGTGTTGCGAGAAGCTGACATACCTCTACGCCAACCTTACTTTTCCTATGTTTACTTTGAACCTTCTTTCACACTTGAAAAGTGGGATCTATATGTGAATTCTCCTGCAGCCCGTAGTCGTTCTGCGAATTTTGCTGCGTAGTTTCGGCGAAGTGGTCTATAGGTGGCAAGTTCAGTACCAGTTCAAGAGCCGCCATTCGAGTTGTTTTTAAAGCTTCTGTAATACACAAGGCCGTGAGTCTCGGTATCTTTTCCATTGTCTTCTCGTAGGTGGATTTCCATAAGTCTGTCCACCGAATTACTACTATCCGTTATTAAGATGACAATGTCGTTCATATATGCTACTATCTTAGTAGTTTCGAAGTCCTTCGTTCCTTAGCAGTTAATTCACCACTAATGTCCATAGAAGCGGAGATAGCATTCCACATTGCGGAGTATCTTTACAAGCCTAGCGTCGTCACATTCTACTCTTATCCGCCTACAGGTCAAAAGGCTTCTGATCCAGGGTTGTATAGTACAATCAGTACCTAGACCAGATACTATGCAGAAACTTTGTTGAACGCTCCAGAAATGTCCAGGAATGCTCCAAGAGCGTATTCCTTATATTGAAAAGCCTTTTCTACTGATCTGCGCTTCGTATATGCATGCTGCGTCTTGGACAAGTGAATTAGATTCGAAAGGGTTAGCTTTTATAATAAATTGGAAGGAAACTATTAGACAGCTACACTCACGCCAAGTGACGATTGAGAAAGAAAATGTTGTTTAAATTGCCTTTCAACTCAACTCCACTTTAGTTGAAACTTCCCAGTTCGGTATCATTGAAAACAACTCAACCTGCTAAAATGATGTTAGTTGCATTTTGAACATGTATCTACTTTTCCATAGTGTTATCATTTTTGTCAGGGTACGATTAGAAAGCTATGCTCATGTCAACTATCGCGTGATGATTGCGAACGAGAATAGTATTTAGATTGCTTTCAAATTTCCTCTATATTGAGCTTTCAACTCAACATAACTTTAGTTGAAATTTCACAGTTCGGTATTACCGAAAACAATTCAAGCTGCCAAAAAATGTTTAGTTGAATCTTGAACAAGTATAAACTTTCCCAGTTGTAATTTCCGAGTTCGGTATCATCGAAAACAACGCAACCTATCAAGCAGTTTTCAGTGGAATTTCAAGTATCAAATTTCCCAAGGTATTATTATCTTTATCAGGAATTAATTAGAAAGCTATGTTCATGTCAACTACTGCGTGACTATTGCGAACGAAAATAGTATATAAATTGCCTTCAAATTCAACTTATTTCGATAAGATAAGTCTATAGCAGCATATAGGTCTGAATTTCCTCTATTCTCTTCTCTATTCAACTCTACTCAACTTCAGTTGAAATTTCCCAGTTCGGTATCTTCGAAAACAACTCAACCTGCCCTTTTTAGATTTTGAATCTTGAACATGTCTCAACTTTTCCACTGTATTATCAGCTTCTTCAGGAAACTCTTAGTAAGCTACACTCATGTCAACTACCGAATGACGATGCGAACGAAAATATTATTCAGATTGATTTAAACTTCAAATTATTTCGATAATCTAAGTAGTTGTGTGTTTTGATTTCCTCCATTTGGTGTTTTCAACTCAACTCAACTTCAGTTGAAATTTCCAGGTGCAGTACATCGAAAACAACTCAACCGGCCAAAAAATGAGTAACTGACTCTATAAGATGTTTCAACATCCCTTGGTATTAGTCTATAGAAGCATATTTAATAATTTAAGTTGAAATTATTTGTCATTTGTTATTCGAAATGAGAGTTTCGGTTCAAAGTTGTGTTGCCTTAGTGTGCACTAAGTCGAGTTCTATTTCTTTCAGAAATACTTAATTTTCATCGTTATTTTTATTATTCTTCAAAAGGCGTGCATTATACACATCAACACTCAAAAACAACTCTCTAAGGTAGGTGTATTAAAAAAAAAAAAAAATTATTGTGAAATTCTGACAACGCAACCTAAAACTTTTAATCATGATTACCATAAGAAAACAAATACTTCGTCTACAAATGCTGCTGTCTAACGGATAAAGTCATCAGCATGTAATGGCGAAATATTAATGTTTATGTTACACCAAAAAGAAGCACGACAACTTTTTTGTTTTGATAAACAGCTAAAATTCTTTAAGACAATATAACCCACTCGTGCGCCACTTAGGTACGAACACACGTCTCTTACATATATACCATACAATCGATATACATATCTATGCACCAGGTCAGCTTAATTTTTATGTTTGCTAATTTGATGCCTAATTTTGTAATCGCACAACAATAGCGACAGCGACACCGTACACCGACCACCGCCATCGTCACCGCCGCCACCACTTGCCTGAACTGCTACAATTGAGACTTTTCCGGCACAACGCCAACGCTGCCGCGCCCACGCACTCCACAAACAAAACATAGGAAAAGCAAAAGCGAACGCGCTCTAAAAACAAAAGTAAATAATTAAACAGAAAAGCGTGAGCAGTCTAAATGGCGAGCAATAATAGCACAGCGGCGAATGGCAATGGAGCCACAAATGTCGCAACGGACCTAAGCAACGAGCTGCTGCGCGGCATCGTGACCACGCACGACACAGACAATATTATCATATCGCCGCTCCAGCTGGAGGCGCTGCTCACGCTGCTCTATCTCGGCAGTGATGGCGGCACCGCAGAGGAGCTGCAGCGCGTGCTACAGCTGAAACGTTTCGCCAGCAATGCCAAAATGGCCAACCACTTCGCGACGGAATTGCAATTGAGCACCGACACCGCGGCCGACACACACATGCAGCTGTGTAGTGAGTTGCTGCTGCCGATGGAGGTCGAAGTCGGCGATGAGTTTCGTAAAATAGCGCAGAAATATTTTCACACAACAGCGTTGCAGCGAGATTTCAGCAGCATTTCGAAATTGCGCGCACAACTCGATGAGGATTTGGCGAAGGCGGCCGCTGGCTATGGCTGGTGCATTGGCGATGCCTTATTGTCCACGATCACAGCGCCTGTGGTGGCGTCAACGGCCATCGTGTTGGCAGCTGTGCATTTCCAAAGCAAATGGTTTCTGCCATTTAGCGCCTATCGGACGGGTCTGTATGACTTTCAGCAGAGCGCCGTGGAAGCGCCCGCAGCGCATGACGTGCCACAGCAGGCGCCACCTACAGTTGTGACGGTGCCAATGCTCTTCGACGATGATATGTTCGTGAAGTTCGCGGAATTGCGTGAGTTGGACGCGCGTATCATTGAGTTACCTTATGAGCATGATGATGAGTTGGCTATGTTGGTGGTGTTGCCCAATCAGCGCGATGGCCTGGCGGCATTGGAAAAGCAGTTAGAAACGCTGGATCTCAACGCGTTGACGGAGCGCATGCAGATGGAGAGCGTGCAGGTGCTTTTGCCGAAATTTAAAATCGATTTTGAATGCAGCCTGCGGCGTACTTTGGAACAGGTGAGCTGTTTGTGTACTGGTTGATGTCATGAACTAATTGAAAATCTTCTATATGTCACCCTTCAGCTGGGTATCACAACGATTTTCTCGAAAGCTGCCAATTTTAAGAATATGCTGCGAGACAACACCACAGATCCACTAATAATTTCAGATATTCTACACAAAGTCTGCATAGAGGTTAATGAGTCGGGCACGGAAGGTGCAAGTAGTGTTGGTGAGTACACAAATTGTCGTAATTTAATATTTACTTCATGTCTTATCATTCACATAAATGTCATTGGACTTCAGAAGCGATAATTGTAGTACGACTAGTCCTTAATTATTAATTGATAATAGATAAAATTCTCCACGAAAATTTGCGTGTTGTTTTTTCATAAACCCTATGGATATTTAGAATGCTTCGTGATAATATATAATATCAGTCTCACAATCAATCGAAGTACGTTTTAATAAACTTATAAATATATCGATTAGACGTACGTAATATCAATTAGATATCTAATTGTTAGGTCTCAATCAGTAGAGTCAGTACTTGGGTTCAGTGCAATTATTGTTTATGCTAAGTTAAAAGGTCGATCCAAACACGGAACCCATTGGAACAGCTGAGAATGCCGGCCAATTATACATAAATACTATAAATTTTTAATATAAAAGAATTTCAAAAATCAACAAAGCGCCTTGAACCTGCCCCACTTTTATTAAGTCGCCTGATTTCAATTGTTTTCACCAGGTTGGCCGAAGACAAGCAAATCCGTTTTCTCCGAGTTAAACCGCAAGCCCACTTGTGATGCCCCATTCCGGACTGTATTGAGAGTGTTGGTTATAATACTAATGGTCTGCGGACCTACTATCTACCCGTTATTAAGATGGAAATGTCCTCCGCCCTTGCGATAATAAATAACAGTATCTTTATCTTAAACTGTTGGTGTTCTGTCGCTTAACTGTTCACTGGACAGTTGAGGAATATCTTCTTAAAGACTGACAGTTGTGTTAAATTTTCGGAGGGAGTAGTAGTAGTGGCAACTTAGCATCAGATGCATCGGACTTATTTCATAAATTAGGCTCACAATTTTAAAGGCTTCTGGTCTGGTTTTGATAAATTCTACGGTGGTGACAATTGCTGAGCCGTAATAAGCTTCGTGGTACCTATTGCTAACTACAGTCCCGTCTTATCGGTAACACTTAAAAATATCTTTATACTGTACGAAAAAATCGATATTTTTTCTAAAAATGAAACCAAGCTTTCCGAGAGATTGAGACATAAGTAAAAATTTAATTTCTCCCTTTTTTGAAATTAGCCTTCAAAGTCGAAGTATTTGCGTTCGAAGTTCGAAATTGAGCTTATTGAAAAAATCATTAATAATTATAGTAGCTTAGTTACTAGAAACTATGGCTATCATCTACATATTCCTCTTATTTTCCTCTAATTGTACTTTTCTCTCAAGCTGATATGAGTTTAAAGTTCGATCTTCAAACAAAATAAAAAATAACAATATTTAAAAAACTACTGGCATCATGCACCTCAAATTTTTAAAACCATTCAAAAGTACACTGTACGCTTCAGTATTTCATCGACCTTCATCATATTCATTCTATTAAACTTCATCTCGTTTCTGCCGTTAACTTTAACCGCAGTTATTCTCTCTCTCTCTCTCTTGTCTTTCAGCCTACAAACCAATTGTGATTAGCAATTCGATTGATTCCCGCAAGAAATTCTTTCGTGCCGATCATCCCTTCTACTTCGCCATACGAAGTCGAGCAGCCACCTATTTTGTGGGTCATGTCACGAAATTTTGAGTTCAAAGCATTTAATATTTCTAATTTAAGTCTATAGTAATACTTACGTGAAGTCTTCTATGTAAATATCTGTATATGTATGTTTACGCTTTACAAAGCGTTTGTTGTTTTACAATGCTCATAAAATAATACTGTTATGTAAGCAATGCCAGAGATTAAAGCTGAATGATTGAATAACCAGCAATTCTCACTCCGTTTATAAATAAATAATGTTAAATAAAACTGCATTTGCTTTTAATATTTTTGATTTTTTATAACAAAGAGTCTCGAAAATGTTTATTTAATGATTAGAGTTTAGATTTTACAATTTTAGTTGTATTTTTTTTCTGCTTATTTTATAAATTATTAAATTTTTTGTTTTACAAAGTTTTACTATTGGGTTGTTTATATTATTTGGAGCCGTGATGCCTGTTTTCAAAGTGATAAGTGCCGGTTGGTTATAAAAGAGATTGCCATGGAAAGGTATATATAAGAAATTCTGAACTCCTTTGTCACTTCACTTATAAAGAATTCTCAATAGTTTCATGTGGGACAGTAAATAGATCTGCCCCAAATCGTAGACCATTTTTAGAATATATGCAAGTAAGCTCTACTCGTGGGTTTCGTAACAGTGCCTCCTACTTCTCTATAAATCGATCACCTTGCTCATAAGTACCTTCGTTGCCACGAATCGATCATTAAAATCTCCTAAAGGTAGTTAGTTATCCTCATGAATTTGACTCAAAACGTATACCGTATACTCATATTTAGTAGCTAGTGAACTTAAGACTTAAACAATGGCATTAGATCATATTGTCTTTAGTAGTACTGTGGTATATAAGAGTTCTAAATTTTTCTTTTAAAGTGTATAAAAGTTCATTTGGCCACTCTTTGCTTCTTCTTTCTTCTTCTCTTCCAAATTTACAGTCAATAATAAATCCTATGTTTCTATAAGGGTACAAGGAGGCCACTTCTATAGAGCCGGTATTTGTATATATATAAAATTTTGAGAATTTTACAGTTAGTAGATATTGACAAGGAGCTTGGCGTAAGAAGATCAGAGCTATGGCTCGAAGTGTCGATGATTAGCGGCAAAGAAGCGACGTTAAACAGTCAAAGCCCTTACTGGTATCGTTAGGTTATCGGAAGAATCAGTGAACACCATTTTCAAATATGATAAGAAAAGTGAAAGCACGATGGGTTCCAAAATCACCAAAAAAAAAAACTGCGACGCGTTACCGACTGTTCAACAATACTTTCCGACTATGGTAGTCGTGGTATGTCATGAAACGTAATATTACTGGCGATGGGTCTTGGATCATTGATTACGACCTGAAAACAGACGATCAATCGGCCGAATCTCATGGTAAAAGTAAGCCGAAGCCGAAAACCACTACAAAGCAAATAAAATATCAAGGCTTTGTTGACACCAATTTCCTTCCGCCCGGCCAAACTGTCAACAAGGAACACTATTTGAATGTTATACGTCTTATTATGTTTTGCTCATAGTAGTATGCTCTTGAGAACAAAATTTCGAAGAGTTCAAAGCGCAAATTGACAGTGAAATAAAACTTGTTAAATTTTTGCATTATAAGGGTGGCGAACTCGGCTAAACTGCAGGTTTTGTGCTTGGATGAGTAAACTCACTTACTTGTGAAAATTTGTGTTGAAAACCCAAGAAAAGAATATTCATAGAAAATGAAACAGCTAAATTATAACGTTTTTTGTTTTTGCTCTTAAGAGTGTAAATTATACGTATATCATACGAATTTAAGAATATGGGTTGAAACCAATCAGCTTGCAAATTTTGTGCATATCTTCTTGGTTATGATTTGACTTTCAGTCCAGTGTTTAAACTTTGATTTATCCAGTTTGAGATAATGTTGTTGAAAATCGAGAAGAGGATAATATATAAATTGGCTGCTTTCGATTATAGCTTGATCACTAGTCTGTTTAACCCTAAAAATTTATTTCTAAACTACATAAATTGATGATTTTCACACCGTTTTCTTTAAGACAACGTAAGCCAAGAAATTTTTTTTTCATATTTGTGACATGACTTTTTTTGTTTAAAATTCTGAAAAGTAGTCGAGCTTTTATTACATTTAAGACCAATTTTGAGTGGTAAATTTTCCAAACGCACTTATCACTTTGGCGTCCATCCTTTTGGTGACAAATGACAAATTTCTATTGCTTGTTCATTTTTGTCTCACTATTTTTGGATTTCTGAGAGTTTTCATATTTTCAGTATATTTCTTCAGCTCTCATATGTTATTTTAAGTTTTTGTAAGTTCTATTTTGATCAGCATTCCTTTTTTATTAATATTTTTTTTTACTTTAATTTTTAGTGTCTATGAAAAAAGTACAGTTATTATTACTATTGATTTACCTATTACTCATTCAGATGTGGTTTCTCCCTCTAATTCCACAAGTTGAGCTGTCTTAGTGAAATTAATGAAATTCGTCGTATTATAACAATTACTAATCAAACGCTTAATATTTATATACATATGTATGTTTGTATGTACTCTAATTTTCCATGCAATGACTCAATATTTACTAATTACTGGAATAGTTTTCATCTTTTAATCGTTTTTATTGCATTTTTGCTTAATTATTTTAGTGATTATTTACAAATTGTTATACTAACTACTTGCTTGTTTGTTGTTGTTGTTTTATACGAAAGTCTATCACTAAATTGTAAGAATTACATTAAATGCAGCGCTCCAATGCTTCGATTTCGCTTTACTATACTTTTCCATTAGTTTTTTTCTTTCTCTCATTTTATTAACCCTTTCTTGACTTAACACATTTTGCACAATTATCGCTAGAAGCTAGTCGCTAATTTTTGCTGAGTTTAGTTGAGTGTAAAATGCATTGTTTGCGTATTTTGCAAAACTCTTAATAAATTCTTTGCTGTTGTTGTATGACTCAGAAATACATATTTACAATGTTAGTGTGGCAAGTTATATACACGGTGCGTGTAGTTAAGCCTAACAGGTAGCCAACTCCACTAATTTTGAATTTTCAGCTTAATATACGCTTTTTTACTGGTTTTTGTTTAGTTTTTTGGTTTTTGGAATTTTTTTAGAAATGTAAGTTAAGCAATTATTTTCCTATATTTATATATACTTTAGTTTAGCATTATTTTTCCTTTTTTATTTACAAATATTTCCTACAGATTTGTATATATTTTTCAGATTTATTTTTTTTTACATGTACAATGTAAGTATATATCGTCACCTGAAATGCAAAATATCGTAACATCACTCCATAAGTGAAACGATATAAAAAAACCACTCACAATAAAACCAAATTTGAGTTTTGGTTAAAAAATTTAAATTGGTTAATAATTGGTTATMAAATGGCTATAAAATGGTTACCAATTGGTTATATATTGGTTATATCTAACAGCAGAAACTGAAAATTTTGCATTTGAAGTGACGATATGCAGTTCCTAACAGCTATTTATTAATTTTTTTCTTAAGCATTTTTCACCCATTCTTCTATCAATTCTATCACATAGTTTTATGACTTCTGCTCTTGTAAATTTCTGGCCAACAATGCTTGGCCTCTATGATTTTGTATTTTTGATTGAGAGTACACAATTTCATTTGAAAAATACATACACATATACATTTAGGTTATGTTTAATTTTTTTTATATTATTATAACAAAATATTTAACCTAAAGATGAACGAACTCAACTTAAATGATTTAATTAAATTTTCTAAAGTTCAAAACAACTAAATAGCGAATTTGTTTACGAAAAGTAGTTAACCAATTATTATTGTAATAAGAGTCCTTCGCTGTATGCACTTGATTAACACGTTAATAAAATAAAGAAATTTTTGCTTGAGAATCGCCAGTCAGAGATTTTACTGGCATCGTGGGAATATCGGAAGGAATAGTGAAAACCATTTGGGCCTAAAATAAGTGAAAGAGTAATTGGCTTCAAAATAGGAGCCGCTAAGGCTAGAGATTGGCGATTTTTGTTTGTGAATAAGTTCACACCTCGTTGCGAGTTCGTGAATTTCCTGACAGGAAGGTAAGTAACTAGCCTTCACCGTAGTGTTTCAACGATTGGAAGAAGCGCTGGCATAGGTGCACTTTATCGAGTGGGGACTATTTTGAAAGAGACATACAGTAAAAGCTTTATTAAATGGCCGCCCTATTAAGCGGACATATTAATTAACCATGAACATTGCTGATGTTTATGTACAATCTATAAAGCGGACAACTTTGTTAACTGGACAGAAAGGCTGGCAACCAGACATTGAGAAAGCCGCCTCAAATTGGTTATTTTTTTTTCAATAAAATTTAAATAAAAATTTAAAATAAAATTTCCAAAATTAAACCTCAAGTATAATCACTTGGATACTTATACCGATAAAAACGTTTTCGCCTATATTCGTGAATAAAACTTTCACTGTATTGAATAGTTTATTATACGAATATTAGTATAAAATGTACACGACAACAACGCGTGACCGGATCCCCTAGTTTAATGATAATACTAACTAATTTCAGTCATCCATTTGAAGTATAGGGTTTTTCAATAGAGTACTACAAAAATAGATCGATCGACAACATATTTTTTCCGCCCTTTTGACATTTCTCTTCAGTAAAGTTTGCCATTTCATCATGGAAAAATATACAATGCAACAACGAGTCGAAATTATTGAAATTTTCTTATGAAATTCCGATTCAGTGTCCTCAACATTAAGAGCCATTTTGTATGCGCTACAAGTAGCGTGAAAAAAAAATTTTTTTTTTGTTTGCTTAAGACATTAGCGAAATTTTTTTTATCGTAGGCTTTATCAATAAACTTCGATTAAATGAAAAACATATGAAAATTAGCTACAGTGTGGCAACATGTAAACTGAAGGCAAGAAAAAGCAAGTATTTACAAAAAAAATTATTTAATATAATTTTTGTTTATAGCTGCCTTGAAAAGCCACACAAATATTTGGAAAAAAATTAAAAAAAATAAAATAAAAAATTTAGTTTTTCAGTATTTTTTTTTTTTCAATATGTAGTGATAATTTTAAGTTAATTAAATGTTATTAATAATATATACAACAATTAATCTAGAATTATGCTATTTTTCTATTTTGATCTGCAATAAATTCGAAAGCCCTACTTAGAGCCAATTTTTGATTATTGGGATAGCTATATAAAAAAATTGTAAATCTTAAAATTCTAAATATATCTTCTATATATTTACAAAGACAACCATTAATATTAATATATTGTAGATTACAGCTATGCTTTAAGGTCTACTGTACAGTAAATAGTCAAAAAAGTGACAGGAACAAAATGCTTAGTGGCAACTAAACACACCTAATATTAGTTTACTTCAATAAATTAGTATTTACTTCAAAGATCTTCGCTAAAATTAATTCCAAAGATCTGCCAGCTTATCTATCAATACATATTAGCTACCCTACAACTGCTCCACAGTATCCTGGCTCATGGTTATGGTGGAAGCCGCTGGTGTGGAAGCGCTCGTCGCCACTGCCGTGACTGCCACGCCTACCGCCAACACTTCGGCATCACCTAAGGTAGACTCTGTTGGCACATCATTCGTGCGATTTAGCAGATAATCCAAATCGTGTGTGATGCGATCCAACATGCCGGTCATCGAGTTCTCATCTTCGGGCGACGAGTTGCTTTCTGCCGCTGTTGCTGCGACGCTCTGCGTCGCATCGCTCGCATTAAGGTTGTTGGCGAGGCAATCGCTTGCCGTCGCCGCCGTCGCCGCCGCCGCTGTGTTGCTGCTAATCGTTATGATGGGCGTTGGTGTTGCGGTTACTAGGCGATGATGTGCCGCAGGCGTCGCCACACCGGAAACGGCCACCATTGTGGGCAGTAGTGGATCGAAGGTGTGCGTGGTGGGTTCCATGATGGTGACGCGCTTTTGCGCTTTTGGTGTTTGCGTTGTCGCCGTTGTTGTACTAATAATGCTGGTGAGTGTTGTCGGCGGCGCTTGTGGCGTTGTTGCCGCTTCAACGCTGCTTTTCGCATAATCCATGGTGGTGGGTAGCGGCAGACCGCTGCTTATCGATACGATTGTTGGTGGTGGTGGCAACATTATGGCGTCCTTGTAGGTTTGGTGATGTTGCGCAACATTTTGCTGGCCTGTTGCGTTTGCTGTGAGATGTTGCTGCAGTGTTGTGGTGTGGTGACGCGGCAAGCTGTGGTGCTGCAGTTGATGATATGACATGCCTGCGGGGAGCGCGCTGCCACAAATGCCAATGATGGTGTCTGGAAGGAAAGAAATATACATACAAACAAATGTAGTGGAGTTGGACTAATAAGAGAAAGTTTGTATTGTAAATGGAGAAATATTTTATATACATATATGTTGCAAGTAAGTAATTTGTTATTTAAAAAATTTGAATTGCAGGCAAAGGAGCTACAGGCAATATCAGAATACTGCACTTCAGACTACAACGATGGATGTCTTGATCTTTACCCTTGAACAACAGCACAGTGAGGCTTGTGTGCTCCCAGTTAAGCAGCATAATGAATTCCTTTCCAAGTCGTTTCTGTGGGGGTGCTTTCGCAGAAATTCCCGTAGTCAACTGCTTGTAGCGGAACCGCCTGCTAGGAGCATGAAAAGGTCCGCCGTCAACTACATCGATGACATAACGCTGACCAGACTTCGGACGCTACAAATTTCAGATATGCATTGACCGACATTCACAGTGCAGCCATTAACACCTTCACCGTCTCCTTATCAGTGAATGGCGTATTCTGGATACTGTAGTTGTAGCGTACAGGTTAAACTTCTACATATCCAGAATCGATACTGACATATTTAACAAATCTACAACGATTCCCGCAGGCCACTAACCACCTCTTTTGCATGCCTATGCTAGCCCTACACATCTGACACCCCTTTCCCTATGGTCCGATCCCGTCGAAATAGCACGTACATATCTTGAGTCTCTCTGTCAATTTATCTAATCCTTACTATCCGAATGGAGATTAAATTATTTTAAAGCAAATCAATTTTTTTGTTCTCTCTATCGTTTAGTACCCAGGATATTGAAAGTAAAAAAGAAAACATTTTTGTTTAGATTATTTTTGGACTCTGCGACATTCACTAGGAGAACATGTTGTCACCAACCTGATGCTATTTCTCGGTACTACAAAACACAAAACAAAAAAAAAAAAAAAAAAAAAAATGTAAAGCTTCAATAAACTTCTTCCGATAACTGTGCACAAATTTCTTCTTTTCCGAGAGAAGATTTCTGAAAAACCGCACGTTTTCGGGCTAAAAAGTTTTAAACTTCCTTATAACCTGTGGTGAATCCAAAAATAGGCAAAACAGTGCTGGTTAAGAAAATGATTAAGTCTCCAAACTTGGAGAATACTTCTGTGTTTTTAGCGATATCGGAGATTATGTGTAACTCCAAAAATATTTAAAGTTTTTATTCGAGAATTTCACTGTGTGACCCTAAAGCCACTACGTTCATGCAGCTGTACATAAAGTCACAACACTGTCACACTATAATACACCACACCAATAGAACTCATACATTCTACCACATCAATACAACCCACATGCGAGAGCATCCCGCTTCCACATATATTAACTCAGATCATAGTGGATACAACCCAACAAAAAGGATCACCACCTCCACGTATATATACTTGCCGAGTTATCCTCCTATATTGATTTTTTAATAGTACTTGAGTTCTTGGCTTAATCTAGAGACCTTAAATTGAGCGCTTACAAAATACAACGGATGGAGCATCTGGCCAAAGTGAAGAGATTCAAAAGGTCATCGAAAATATGGCTCAACGGATGGACTATCTGAGAAGTAGCCGCGGCCAACATTTGAAAGAGATAATCTTCGAAAAGCAAATGCCGAAGAATGTTCTTTCGAATGATAATCAAAATTCCCCATTAAATGTGAAGGTAAAAAAGTTGGGAACCTTGAAATGGTTCAACCGTTAGTATAGATCGTTTCGTACTGAACTCCCTTGGACGATCCAAACCTTGACATCAATTGAAAGCTATTTGGACCGGTATCCTGTAAGAAAAGCTACAACTACAGATGTAGACTACCCAATTTTTCTGTTTTAAGAGACATGATATGCGGACTAAACAGTAAAGGTACTTTTGGGCTTTCTTTCGGTATTTCTGTTTAGATTTTCTACGACAAGTTGACCGCTGATTGTTAAGCCTTCAAGTTTTTTCCAGACATCAGGACTCTCTTAGCTTCAAGCTTTAACATCTCCAAATAAAAATCTCGTAAAATGCAGTAAAAATGTTAGTTCTTGCACAACAACACACAAACTCCGCTTAATTTCCACAATCCGCCTGCACTCCGGATACACTTGCTGTCCTTAATTCTCTTATGCGCAAAAGTATAATCAAATAAAATTGTAAAAAATAACAATATTTATTTTTAGCTAACGCTGGTGTTTATATTTTGGCCAGCGAAGTGAAGCAAAGGAGATGTAAGAATAACAACATATGAATGTATATAGTGTATATAGTATATATATAAGTTTATACACTAACATATATATATACGTATGTGTGGAAAAATACTCAATTCGCACAATCCTTCAAGTTTCTTCACCATTCTGAACATAAGAAGTTGAGCGCTGAGTAAACTAATGGCATTGTAGGCGCCTAATGAAAGGTGTACGAGATTTTATGTAGCGGTTTCGGCAAGTTCCAAGCTGCTTGGTGTCTCTGAAATTGCTGCTTTGTGGCGCTTGTTCAAAGCTTCTGCCGGTCTTCATTACTAACTAGTAGCCACTTGATGTGCTTAAATCGAAAATGTGGCCTGCTTTGCTTTTGTTTCCTTCGGAGTCTTTTTCTGCTTTGTCCTTTTTTCGGTAGTTAGTTTGTATAGTTATTATTATTGCTAATATACTTGTTGTTTACGTCAAAGATTTTGAGAATATTTTATTTTATTTTGTAAGTTGTTGCGCATATTTGAGCGAAACATTTGCAGTTAGCCTTAAAGGGAATTAAGGGATTTGCAATTTGAAGGATATATTTAGATTTCTGTTGGTTTAAGTGACGAGAGACAGAGACACAGATTTACGTGCATATATGCTTTTATGTATTCATATGTAAATATAGACAACATATAGTATTTTGAGGCAAAGCAGTTGAATTCATGCCACTTAGGAAGGATCAATTTTAAGGGAAAAAGTAAGTAAGTGGAAAAGTAATATTTATAGCTAATAAAAATATATAATATAAGAAATAAAGCAAGAAAATAGTAACGTTAATTACGATTACCCCTATAATACCATACCCTTCAAAAATTAAAAAAAAATTTCCAAGAACTCGATTTTGAACGACCAGTTTGTATGACAGCTATATGATATAGTAGTCCGATCAGAATAATTTCTTCTGATATAGTAGCGATGCTTTATGTAATAAGTTATGTCAAATTACGTGAAGATATGTCGTCAAGTGAAAAAGTTGTCCTTACAAGAACTCGATTTTGGCCGAACAGTTTGATGACGGCTATATGCTAAGTCGTTCATTTAATATAGGAGGGATGTCTTAGAAAATAAGTTATATTAAGTTTCGTGATGATATCTCGTCAAATGAAAAAGCTTTCCAAAAAAGAACTCGATTTTGGTCGATCTTTAGAACGAGTTCCGGAACACAGCTTTAGATTAATTTTTAGCTCCTTCTAGGTATAAGAAAAGTAATGTATTGTTATAAACGTCTTTCCTACCAAGTAACTACTACAATTCAACTTAGCCGTCGCATCCCTATCCAAATAATATTCTCCTCCTTTCAACTTTTTCGAAGCTGAGCCATAAGACTTTGTTTACACATTTCATTGCTTAATAATTTAACCGACTAATCCGGTATAAGCCTGCTGTAACAAGTTTTGTTGCTAAAAATAAATTCGAAAATATCTTCGCCACACACACACTCACCTGGTGGCGCCACGCCCTGCAGTATATCCAATGTTTCCAGACCCACAAACTCCGTCGTCGCTGCTGCACCGTGCAGTTGTCGCCTGTTCAAACTGCCCGTCATGCCGCCGAGTTGTATGCCCGCACCGTAGGCATCATAATAGCCCATGCCACCGGTGGTTACCACAACGCCACCGCCCACCACGCCGGTCGATGTTACGGTGCCAATCGCATTGCTGCCACTGCCGCCGCCACCGACGCTGCCTAGTATGTTGCAGCATCTCGTTGCCGGCGAGGTCATTGCCGCGGCGGCCGTCTCTTGCAGACAGCTGACATGTGGTGGCAGCTTGCGCTCCAGACTGGCTGCATTCAGGAACGTTTTGACGCTGCTGCCCACTGTAGATGCGGACGCTGTGGGCAGCAGTGGGCAACGCTGTTGCGCGGTGGGTATAATTGTGAGTGGCAGTTGCACGCCACTGGAGATTTCAAGCTGTTGCGGTGGTGGTGGGGGCGCGCCGCTTTCGTTTTCTTTCTGCTTTTCATGGCTGGCGTAGACTGTTTGGGGAGAAAGAAAAATGTGTCAGTGGCTAGAGGGTGTGTTATGAAATTTATTATAGCGTATTTGAATTTTGAAGTAATATATATTTTCATTTTAGAAATACTGTTGTGACTTTATATTTAACTTAATAAATCAAACTCCCTAATGCTTTTTGAATTTCATTTAATTTTTTACTGAATTATTTAATTTTGATTACAACTTTACTATAATTTTTCCATACTTACAACTGAGCGGACTATTTATGGTTCCCGTACAATAGTTGTCATCCAAACTTGTCTTACTCGAACTAAGCTTCTTCTTCAACGTACCACTGTTGCTGTTGTTGCTGCTTGGCGGCGCTCGCAAACTGCTCTCCGCTTTTATAACAAAGCAATAAAGTATTAAGAAACCCTAAAATTTAGGAAAATGTTGCTTTTGTATTAAAAATTGATATTTAAAGTAAAAATATATCATAAAATATAATATTAATAAGGATTAACATGTAAGGAAACGTTAAGTTCGGATGTTACCCAACATTTTCTGCTGTTGCTATTTGCAAGCATTAAAGTTCGAGAAATTGTTCAGCAAAATATAGAAGTAAGGGGTAGTATTGACCCGATATTATCCATTAACTATTATCATTAAGTTACTTCACATACAAGCACCAAACAGTCAGTCGGATACTCGAAAATCCTCCTAATAGATTATGGGGGTTAGGTCCAATTTTCGCCCAACTGTATCTATTTTGTGCACAAATATATACCGTTATAAGTAAATCATGTTCTGAAATATTCATTGAGGTAACTCAAATATTGGACGGTATATCCAGCACAAAGTCACTTGGAAGTTCGAAAAGCATTATATTAGGTATGTGAGGGCTCAGGGTAGCGATTCCACTTATTTTTGATACATAGAGATACTATTATCAGAAAAGAATTTATTCTGAATTTAGATTTTTACCCATACATTGACCGATGTTTTCGGTGAAAAGTCAACTACACATACTGCGGCACCCTTATTCGGTGCATAGGAGATTGAACAATTTGGTTTGGATTTGGACCATTTTTGGTCATAAGGTGGCATATTCTAAAGGAATTATTGGTGTAATATTTTATCCCGCTGTATCGGTTGCTTATTGATTTGGGTGCTAAAAAGTGAACGAATCAAACACAATTTGAAATTGTGCTATGTGGAAAGAGGCGTAGTTGTAGTACGATATCGTCCATTCTCGCACTTTGACATAGGAATATCAGAAGAAGGTCACGTACTGCATTTAGTCGAATTTGGTCAGTTGGGTTTTGAGATATGTGATTTCACCAAAAAGTGGACGGTGTCACTCCCATCGTCCAATTTTACACGACCTCCGTAAAGCTCGGGTATAAAATGTAATGTTTCTGTACTGTTATATAGGAAGTGAAAGAGATTTTTTACCCAATTCCATCAATTTTCACCCTGTGGTAGAAGTTCTTATATCATTTGCGTTTTGCAAATTTGGTATAGTATTTTAGGAAATATGAACATTAAATTTATTAGAGGCCGGTTGCACGCCCAAATTTTCAAAAGTGTTTGCTCACAGGAGCCCCTTGGTTCTGCGAAAATCACAGTGGTCACATTTTTATTTTTAGTCAAGTCATAGCACTGACGGACGGACATACAGACAGTCACCCGGATTTCAACTCGTCGCTTGAACCTGATTATTAATATATACATAACCCTATATCCATTTCGATTAGTTACAAGTGATACACACAACCGTTAGGTGAACGATACTATTAAACTCTGTAGGAACATCTTGTATAGAGTATAAAAAAGCTGAGCCAAGTTTTTTATATGGCTCTGTTGGACCATTGACCTTAAGTGGCAAATTAGCGTAAGTAAATGGAAATTAAGTCTTAGCTGTGTTAATTTGTAAGTGTGCATCTTACACAGCAGCAGCTATGGTGCGTTACAAAATAAATCAAATGTTTTGAAAAAATAATGTAGTGTATATAATATTTCTTAGCATAACTTCAGGCGTGATTTGTTTAATTTAATCTGCCTAAAAGCACGGATAATATTACTTACTTGTCTCGATTTAATTATAATTAATACTATTCAAGTAGCAAATTGAATGAATACGGACCGGTCACGGACTTTTATTTTTGGTTTTTTTTGTTGCTGCAATAACAACAGTGTAGGTTTTCTAAAAATAATCGGATTTTACGCTTTCGTAGATTTGTTTATGAATATTAATTTATAAGTAAATACTTAAGCACTTCTTATCAAATGAAATTAATATAGGAAATTGTCTCACATTAAGTACAAATATAAATTAATACAAAATGTTTTCTACTAATTAAAAAATAATATTAGGTTGTCAAAAAAGTCTTGCGGTATTTTCGCTAGTTGGCGCTGAGAGCGCATAGTTCTAGTTTTATTCGTCGCATCGAGTCATGCTATACCTTTTTGGAAAGCTCATTTCACGCGCTAACACGTGTTTGATTGATTGTCGTTTCTTTTAAGTCGTTCGTGAGTTATAGCGTCGCAAACATGGAGCAAAATAAAGTGAAAATACGGCATATTTTACAGTACTACTACGATAAAGGCAAAAATGCATCTCAAGCCGCCAATAAAATTTGTGGAGTTTATGGACCCGATACAGTTTCCATTTCCACCGCACAGCGATGGTTTCAACGTTTTCGTTCTGGTGTAGAGGTGGTCAAAGATGCGCCATGCTCTGGAAGGCCTGCCGTCGAAAATTGCAATAAAATCGCTGAATTGGTCGAAAGAGACCGGCATAGTAGCAGCCGTTGCATCGGTCAAGAGCTGGGCATGAGTCATCAAAAAATTTTTTATGAACAATTGAAAATTTAATAAAAATACCGCAAGAAGTACCGCAAGACTATTTTGACATATTATATAAAAATGTTTTTCGTTCTTTTATCGCGGTATCTTCCTTATAGTTGCCTGTGATATGTATACACCAAGAATATTTTTTCAATAGTTACGGCTTACAGTACTTCGGTCTTCGTAAGCATAAGACTGTTCGGTCATACGTTAAAGATGAAGAGACATGCCAAGCGGCTGAAAGTGTGAATATTGCTGTCACAGCCAGTAAAGCGTTTTGTTTTTTTGGTTTCGTCGATTCCGTTTCCTCCACCAGTCTATTTATGATGCGGATGGTTAATCTTCAATCCTTTATTATCCACCATTTGTACCGACTCACTGCGAGTGACATACATATGTCACTTACTTTTCAGTTACTGGTGATGAAATGGTGGTGCAGAGAGCATTGACGGTGCAAAAGGTTTTGCTATGTGTTTGGTAAGATCACCACGGCTCCTTAGTTTGAACCGGTATCACTATATAAAGAAGCAATCGACCAGAAGGGATCACTTTTGGAAAATAGGAGGGGAATTGGTCTTTTTTTTCAATACAACGCCAGTTCCAACAAATGTAATGATACTGACTCAAGAGAAGCCCCGGGAGCTTAGTTGCTAGTTTTTGTGCATTAATCTTACATATAGTCCGGATCAAACACCGATTGATAACTATTTGCTCTTGTCTATGGTCAATGATTTTGCTGGTGAATTTGACTCATGGAAAGTACTTATATGAAAATCAGTTGTTTCAAATTTTTGCTAATAGGGATGATTTCCTTGAGAGTGACATTATGAAATTAAGTTCAAAATAAAAAGAAGTTATGTTTGTAAAATGTAAATTTCGCGATATTCATTCTAAGAATGTTTAGTAAAATCCACAATAAAATTATAACTATTTAATTTATTTAATTTTTTATAGACTTTATATAATACTTTGTTACATTGTGGCCATAATTTGGGCAAATCAAATTGTGAATTGGCGATTATACAGAATTGCACAATTAGGAATATTATTTACTATGATATTTGTGTGTTTATTATCCTACCTATTATAATATATATGAAAATATACATATACTGTTAATACATACAAATAACAACGATTTGTAAAATTATATGGAAATGAATAAGAGTAACATTGGCGACGCCTAAGACTACAAATACACATTTTAGCGCACGTAACTATAAGTATGTATGCATCTACTTTCCAAGCATTAATAACTACATGGGCATTCACACGCATTCACTTGGCTTGCCGGCAAAAATCCGTACTGCCAAATGCTCATAAATATTGGCTAAGCTTAATATCATTAAGCGCCTACATATACACGACTGATATAAGCACCAAAAATGTTCTAAATATGTATATAGTATGTACTTACATATATGATATGTATACATATATATATTTATACAAACCATAATCATGCTTATGCATACGCTTAAAGCGATAAACGCTTACAGCGCCTAAAAGCAGCTACAAATAAGTTGACTAAATGCAAGCACGCACACATGCGCATGAACGTTAGCCAAAGTACGTATATAGCATACATATATTCATTTACTTTCCATTAAGGCTTGCATAAAATTATTCTTGCGGTTATTTCGTGTTTATGGTATAACAATTTGGGCTTTGTTGTAGCTGCTGTTGGGCTACTTTTCGTATTATGAATAATTAAGCGATTCGTTAGCATGGCGCAGAGTTAACACTAGTAGTGGTGTTCACTTATGTATTTCTATATATAAGTAATACATAATATAACAATATATATATAAATATATTCGTGTTGAATATGTTTATATACATATATATGAATATTTGTGTTAGTATGCGAGAAGATTAACAGAAGTGGAGAATTTTTGTATTGAGCATGCATATAGTAAGGGGTGTCTAATATATCAGAGCCTGGAATTTGGAATTTGAACTGTATTTATTTCACAAGTTGCAAGTAAGGTTTAACAGCAAACTTGATAGTTTTTGTTCGCGCCGCAAATTGTTATAACATAGCAGTTTAAGATAAATATTTATTGCTTAAGATAAATATGTTTAGTAGTTTCGTTTAATAAAGAAGACTAGTTCGACTGCAACTAGTTTTGAGCTAAATGAGTCGAAAATAACATATTACGGCAGAGGTTCATAGCATTATATAATTTTACAAAGTTATTTATTGAACTGGTCCATTTGGTACTAGTTCTAAGCTACTCGGTCTCCGATAAAAAGTGGAGTAAACAAAAACGATATATATATTATTTTTATTTTTAATTTTTTTTGAAGGCGAATCCTCACTCCCCAAGGTTGTGTGCTGGGTTTGGAAACCGTCAGGAAAAAATAACACACCAAATGAAAAGATCAAAACAGCCTCAGCGAAAAGAAGAAGAAGAATGATTGGCGGGTTATTATAATATTTTCTGTAACAGAAAAGCGGGGTCTATATTAATAAAAAGCTATGATTGAGAGGGGTTTTGTGCCTTCGTCTCCATGACATGCATTCGCAAAGTCCCAGCACTCTGTTGGATTTCAGAAATTTGCTATGTGCTATTGAGGTGGTT